AGTCTCCCACAAATGTAACTGACTAAGCACCTTACTGTTAATATGCGTCATTTAGCTTTGTGAAGAGAAATAAATAATTTGTATTTGTATACTTTTCGAAATTTTGAATGCTTTTGTTCCATGACTTTTTTTTTATAATAACGCACACACTCAACATAGCCCCGCACTAGGGAAACCCTGTGTCGCGGGTGCCATGGACACACACATAGACAACCACAAATTACACCCAAACTCACGAGAGAAATAAATGTAAGCCATACAAACATTTCTCCCGGCCCGGGAATCGAACCTGGGACCTCTGCGTGGCAGTCCGGCAAGGTAACCGTTCGGCCACAGAGGCAGTTAAAATTAGTAAGATTTTACTTTAATAATTTACTTTACTTTCATAACTAGTAAGATTTTACTTTCATACGAAATAAATAGATTAAATAGATCGCTCTAAAGTAGCAGTAGACCTCCTTGTGAAAGAGTTCGTCCAGGGAAGCCACTGACACCTTACCTATTTTTGCTGCCAAGCAGTAATGTCAGCATTGCTGTGTTCCGGTTTGGAAGGGTAAGGGTGCTGGTGAAATGTCCCTTAGATCTTTGCGATTTAAAGCTCTGAGTTGCACTGCGATTGTTATGGATAGGCGTGTAGTTTACCATCAGACGCACGGCTTGTTCGTCCCGTCACTTGATATTATATAAGAAAACAAAAGGTAATAACTCTGTGTCGAACGGGTGTGGGGGTGGGAGTCTAGTTGGGAAGTTGGAAGACGCTTGCATGTTTGACCTTATCTTTACAAATACAGATTACAGTAAATAGTGTCAGATAGTACAGCAACAACTTAAAAGTTTATTTTTGGATTCTTTTAAATATTTTGTTTACAATGTTAGTAATATTAGGTTTTTTTTAAATAACCCTGTATATTTCGATACGTACTTTGTAAAACACGAAGTTTCGTAAGAAACGGGAAATACGAGAAAAAGAATGAACTTTTTTACCAACCCCAACGGCAAGTTTATTGTCTAATAAAATTACCTCATAAAATAAAATTTTACGATCAATATCGAAAATATTACAAGTGCTAATAAAATCAATTTCATTGCACAACATAAATTGGTATGGGAATATAATTTTATGAATTGTAAAGAAAGTTTACGTTACATAAAACTTGCAATGTGGAGCTCTCCGTGTTCTATACTGAGTCTATACATCGCACCTAAAGAATGAAAGTAACATAATTTAAAAAAAACACAAAAGTTTTTCACCGACTTTATTTTATTTTATTTATTTAAAGATACACCATCAACTTAACACAAAACAATATTGAAAAAACATACACACAGGTTCACTATACAAGGTGCCAAGTCACTACAGGTGTATACATCACTAAAAATCTAATGTTAACCAATGAGATACTAAAGAAAATATATAATTAGAAATATAAAATTACAGTAATAATTAGTTATCTATAATAGATATTTACAAGTTTCATAAGTTCAAACAGATTGCTTCAAAAAAAAGGAGGAGGTTATACGTCCGGCTGTATGTGTGTTTTATATATGTTTTCCTATTTCTCCGCCAATTGTGGACCGAGTTTGAAAATTCTTTCTTGTTTGAAGGGGTGCACTCTCATGGTGGACCCATTGTCACCAAGTCAGAATTTGATGAGGGGAAATCGAGAAAATTCTTCAAATTTTATATGTATGTCAGTGTGCTTACCGATTTCTCCGTCAAAAGTGGACCTGTTTCTTTTTGTTTGAAATTGTATATTCTTGAGGTGGTCTCTGATGCTGACAATGCTGTTCCGGGTTCGTTTAGGCTATCACAAATTAAAAAAATATTTTCCGCAAATAAAACTTGACTTTTCACTTGACACAATACATGTAATCAACAAATTACGTTCACTATGACTACCAAAAAAAAAGTATAAAATGTACAAAGGAGTCCGTAACAGTCCCATTGTCACCAAGACGTCAGAATCTGATGGGGGATCCCATTGACTTACAAATAAATGGACGACGGGTCTAATACAAAAACCACGAAAAAAATGTCCCAAGTCAACCTATTTAAACGTAGTGACATGTAAAGGAATATGAAAAAGCTAAAACGTTAAATTTGAATTGTAATGTCATCACAGTACTGTCTAATTTTGCTTGCTTCGCTGTCAGTCGAACAAACGAAGACTAAAGCGTGAATGGCGCTCTGTATACGATTTTAACGCCCTATAAGTTCGGGCACTTTTTAGCGCGGACCCGAAGTCCATATAATTGTAAGTCAATGGGGGATCCCATGGAAATCGAAAAAGGCCAGTAAGCAAACTTTTGACGTAGGTTTTTATTTTCAATGAAAAAGGTACAATTATTATGTGTATGGAAATGACTTGATTTTCTCAGTAACGGCAAAAGAAACGATTACTTTAGGCTTCAGTCGACATAATGGTAAAACAAAAACACGATCGAAAACTTTTATCGACGGATTTATTTCATATTAACACTATCTTTTAATTTTTTTTTCATGGCGCCTTTGTTTTTTTTTTGCATTTGGATTGCAAATTCCACCGCAAGGTATTGTTGGGGAATACGGATAAGAGTTAGTGGATAAATTAACATGGAAGATTTCGATTGTGATGTATTTATTATCTGACTTCAAATATAGGATTGCAATTCGACTGTATTTTTTTGTGTATATGTTTTGCGGTTATTCAGGCTATATATTTATGAACCGATTTTGATGATTCTTTTTTTGTTTTGAAAGAGGGAATGTCAGTCGAATTTGAAGAAAATACTCCACCTCTAAGGGTGGCAAACTAGGGGATGAATCTGTTTCGCGCACTTTCCAATAACCGATTTCAATAAAACTTGGCAAATAGATATAATTTCATAGAGTTTCGAGGTCGGTTTTTTTATAAGAAGTTATGAATAATACATTATTATGATACGAGTGTACTAATCACATCCTATTACTACCCACCACTATTATTTCTTTAATAATAATGTTCTGAACATAGTGACAAGCTACAAGTAACACTTGTGCTTCCATTTTGACATCAACAAATACACTGAGCTCCCGAGCTATGAGCGCGGTGATTACTGCTTGCATTCAGTGTTAAATTTATGCGGGTGGTTTCGGGTACATACAGTTATATATCGACTTCGCGCGTGCATTTCGTCTGGTAGTAGCCTAAGGCCTGGCACCCACTGACGGGACCCGTCCCGGGATTTTTAGGTGACGAATAGTAATATATCTCAAGATTATAACATTATATCGCACGGACTGACACTAACCACTGGATCGAGTTGCATAGCCCCCAGGTACTCTCGACAGAACGTCACTACATACCACGGTTGGTACGAGAAGCCATCGAGATCACGAAGTACAAAACATTTAACCGTGATGATGGTTTTAAACTGTCCAGTGCATGGAATCCGGTCCTTAGTGCGTGCAGTAATAAAAACAAAAACACCTCGAGTTCAGTTTCGCGTGTGGATACAGTGAGTGTGGTTTGTGTGAAAAAAGTGAGTGACAATGGTAACGCCACAACAAATCGCGATGAAGGTAGTCGTCGACAGCGCAAGAGGGTAGACAGATATGTCTGCTCATAAAGCTGTCATCTGCCGCCGTCCAGTCAACCCGTTCCGAAATATTGGGAAAATAAAAAGAAGTCATACCGTGGTAAGAAACCTGATACTAGTGATAATCATTTAGTGAATAACCAAGAAAGTCTTAAAATCTATATATAACATTATACTTGCAATTTCAATGATAATGATGGTAGCTGCAAAGTAAAGCTATGGTATGCTTAGAGACGACGACCCGGCTACCTCCGGAATACCTAGGCAGCCTTGGGGATGCTTCGGCAGCCTTAAAAATGCTTCGGCAGTCTTGAGAATGCTTCGGCAGCCTTGGGGATGTTTTGGCAGCTTTGGGGATGCTTCAGCAGCCTTAAAGATGAGTCAGCAGCCTTAGTGATGCCTCAGCAGGCTTCGGGACGCCGAATTTGACTATGCGGGTATGCGGGGCGAGAGGAGACGCAATAGAATGCTTCGACATGCCCAAGGATGCTTCGGCACGCTTAAGCTGAAGGAATGCCGAAGGATCCCCTGTCGTCCCGTCTCCCGCCAGTGAGCACCGGCCCTAAGCGATATGGTGCTGTCACGAATACTTAATCTTGCTAAAATGTATCTCCTACGGTATGCTTTGCAAAAAAAGGACCTTATTAACATAGACTAACTAAAGAAGTACCGTGTTTATTTATAGGCACCAACAGTCATGAGTATATTGTTATTTGAATCCTTAGGGCCTTAACATTCAATTAAATATTCTGTTCTCGAAATTCTCAACTGCCAATTAAGGGTAAAGTGAATAATAATTCATAATTTGAATAATCACTTTGATTGTTATTAATTTATGTTATTTCAGAATTGTGATTGGGCTAATATTAATGCATTGACACATTGAGATGCTTTATTACATGTTAATTCCATTAATAAAAACCTATAATATATGTAGTAGAATAAACAAACCAGTTGGTTTTTTTATAATACCAAATGACGGGACGAACAAGGCGTGCGCTTTATGGTAAGCCTTATGGTATGGTATTTCTGGCAGCAGTTGTAGTGTCGCTTCGAGCTTAAATCTGAAGGGCACTGTCACTACGCCCGTCACCCTCAGACATAAGTGGACAAGTCCCATACGCCTGTAATTTCACCACCATCCTTACCCCTCAAAACCCTAACGCAGTAATGCTAACATTACTGTTTGGCTGCAGAAATAAGTAAGGTGGTAGTACTTCCCTGGACAAACTCTTTCACAAGCTCTAGTGCTTTCAAATTCAAATTCAAATTCAAAATAATCTTTATTTCTTAGGTAAGCATTATTACACTTGAAATCGTCACAATGGTTAAACTCTACCGCTCATTCGTAAGGCAGATTCCCCTGAGAAGAATAAACAAGAAACTCTAGGGTCTATACTACACGGGCGGTTCTCCCGCCGCGGGAATCCGCTTCTGAACCGCACTAGACTCAATTATATATGGACATTGTATGCTACAAACTACACTGCGCGGTTTCCCGCCGCGGTTTGTAGGCGGGAGAAATTCGACCGCCGCATGCAGCGTCAAACCGCCGCTGTTAACCGCCATTTAAAACTACACGGGCGGTTATCCGCTATTGCGTCATTCTGCGCGGGACCTTCTCGCTCGCTCGTCGTGTCTGCGCTTGCGTGGCTAGTGCCGCGTCAAAATGTTCGACACGGAGCGTTTTATTATTGAAGTACAAGAAAGGCCTGCTTTATATGAAGTGAAGTCGAAGGAATACGCCAATCGGGAATTAAAAGCGAAGTTATGGATGGAGATAGGACAGGAAGTGGTTGCTCATTGGGCTGATTTAGGCCCAGAAGAAAGAAACAGAGCTGGTAAGTTTACTTATTATTTTATTTCTTATTTTAATGTATCATCCTGTTTTGCCAAGGAACCGCTCCAGGGCCATTGAAATATTGAACAAACGAATCTCTTACTGAAATGCCATTAGATCGGCCTCCAACTGCCTGGACTTCGTCGAATTCTTCCATATCACATCGAATCGTATCTTCAAATTGATAACCATCTCTGCGTCTTACGAAATTGTGTAATACACAAGCAGCTTTTATAATGTGTTTTGCACTCTGTGGATTGATTATGATGCTTGAATGAAAAATTCGCCACTTGTTACTGAGGATACCAAATGCACATTCCACAAAGTGGCGGGCTCTAGACAGTCGATAGTTAAAAATTTTCTTAGGCGTGTCTATGTTTCGTAAAGAAAATGGTCTCATAACATTTTTATTTAAACCGAATGCAGCATCACCTACAAATACAAAAGGCACACGAGGATTTCCTATATTGTTAGGAAGATGAATTGGCTCCGGTAAATCCAATTGAGAACGAGTTAACTTTTGCCCGAAATTTGAACTTTTAAAAATTGAAGAGTCACTTTCTCGACCTGGAGCACCAATGTCAATGAATGTAAAACAGTAGTCTGCGTCAACCACTGCCAATAAAATAATCGAATGATATTTTTTATAATTATAATATTTAGATCCAGCATTCGGAGGGCAAACAATTCTAATATGTTTGCCGTCAATGGCGCCAACGCAATTAGGAAAGTTCGCTTCTTTGTAAAATTTCTCAGCAATATTTATCCATTTTTCCTTATTTGGTTTTGGCATCTCTAAAGGTGCTGATTCTTGACAAATAGCTTGACAGGTTTCTTTTACAATTAATGGTATAGTTTTTCGAGAAATTTGAAAATCGTACTCCAAATCAGTGAAAGTTGCTCCCGAAGCCAAATATCTGAAAAATAAATAAATGCCACATTAATAATACATTTCTTTTTTGCAGTAAAGGACCTAATGAAGAAGTGGAAGAATATAAGAGATAGTTATAAAAAAGAAGTAAATTTAGAAACAACCACAGTGTCGGGACAATCGGCTCCAAAAAAAAAACGATATATTTATTATGAGTTGTTGTCCTTTTTACGCCCTAGCGTCAGTACTGCAGAAGAACGTGAGTCCAACGTATCTCCAATACCTTCGAATTCATCACAAAATCAGGATTTTGAAGAAGATAATTTGATGAGACCACCGCGACAAAACCGAGTTCTTACCAAAAAAAAGAAACAAATGGAAAGTACCCAAATTCCTCAAATAACAAAAATTTTGAACGAAAGTTTACAATTACAAAAGTTAAATAAAGATAGTGACGCAAAAGGAAATCGAGCATTTCTTATGTCCTTTGTACCCATTATGGATTCCATGACTCCTGATTTGGCTATGGAAACTAGATATGAAATTACGAATTTATTCAGAAATATACAAAGAAACGAAAGAAACCGCAGTATTCCTAGCAACTTGTCTGAGTTTCTTTACCATAGGAACCAGGAGCCATCTGGGAGCTCTGGGTCTAGAGCATATCACGAGGACACATTAACTCCAATGACTAGTGTCGCATCGCCACAAAACGATACTGCTTCGGACACATCAACGGAAAATGATGATTATTTTAATGTTCTGAATTACTTACCCCAATAAAAATATTATTATTTTATTTACCTGAGAGTTACAGCCAAACGTTCCGCAGGTGTGATGGATCTCCGCATATTTGTATCCTGTTTCTTAATACGTTGGCTTATAATTGATAGAAGTTCATCAAATGAGTTCACAGACATTCTATAGTAAGAGAAAAACTTATGAGGGTTATCACGGTGTGCACTAAACATTGAATGAAATATTCCCGAAGTTAAACGGTTACTTAACACTGGTTCCACCCAAACATTGCGGTTTACTTTGTTTTTTAATAATTCTAATAATATAAGAGCTGCAAGCGCAGTTATCATTGGCGGATCCATCTTGAAATGAACACAAAACACAGCGGTAAACCGCGTCCCGTGTAGTTTGCTGGTTTGCGGGAGCTTTGTCGAGCGGATTCCCGCGGCGGGAGAACCGCCCGTGTAGTATAGACCTAGGGGTTGCTGTTTGTAAATAACATTTACAAAATTTTTTTATTTTTATTTGAAACATCAGAGATCGAGACTACCTCCATGAGCTAAATGGGTTACTACCACGGATTTTTGTCATCCAAGTACGCAGAAGTTCTATAATAACCTTTAGTATAAAGTTTTTGTTTCACTATAGTTTTAAACCTCGTGAAAGGCAAATTTTGTATATCAACCGGAATCTTGTTTTAGAAGCGTACACATTGCCCCTTAAATGATTTTTTTGTTGACTTGGTCTTTATGTAGTTCCACTGCTGTGTACAGCATCTTCTCACAAATAATCCTGTGTTTATTAGCAGTAGAGCTCTTTGTGAATGAGTAACTTATGTATCAGGGTGACAGTGCCCCTCAGATCTTTGTGATTAAAAGCATTGAGTCTGAGGCACTGCAGCTGTCATGGATAGACACATGTCTATCTAGGGAAGTGACATCGCTTACCATTAATATATCTGTCGGAGCCAGTTATCGCTTTAAGCGTAATGTAACAAAATTCGATTTATTGTTTATGTAATGTGCTTTACAAAAGGATTTATCTTAGCTAATATTATCATGTCTTGCTTTGTAATTTGACTGCCTCCATGGCCAAACGTTTACCATACTGATGGACTGCCACGCAGAGGTCCCAGGTTCTATTCCCGGGCCGGGGGAAATATTCATATGGTCTATATTTATTTCTCTCGTGAGTTTCGTTGTAATTTGTGGTTGTCTATTGTAAAGGTCAGCTCCAGTCGGTTTGAGTGAGCATGAGACTGGTTTGTGGGTGAGTTCTGGTTGACCCGATGCTGCGTGTAAAATTTATAAGCGAGGAGAAGGAAGGGCGCCGTACACACAACGAAAACAAGTTTCAAGTAGAAATAACCAGAAGCTTTATTTTTAAATTTGTTTTTGTTACATATTACAATTAAATGTAAGGGTACAGTATGGAGAACTAGTATTTTTACTTCCCTGAGTTTACAAAGGGAGAGTACGGATATGTTTACTGCCCTTAATTGTTACATACAAAAGATTACCTTTAAGTATACTTAGAGTTAATACACTGCACTAAGAGTTTATGAAAGTACATGAGTGACACATGGACACTTCATTTATACGTCACTGACCTGGAGTTTACCGGATGCACATTTAAGTTACATACCAGATCCGCTGCGAAGACAGCGTAGTTGCTACAGGAGTAACGAAGTTATACGTAGGTGCCGTCCACCCGTGGAGCTCATGACACGTGGTCGGGCACAGCCGAACAAAAGTTACTGCAGCTTAGTCTCAGCCATTCAGTTGATGGCGAGATTCGAAATTACAAGTACCAAAGGTACAACTAAGAAAACAAAGAAAAACCCTGCAACAATATAGATTGTTACAGTACATTGATATAAATGACGAAGCATCTAATGAAGGAAAGAATCCAGAGGTCAACTCACCATGCGGTCCGGTGACACGGGTTTTACTTTTGGTACAGGGTTCGGAGACCCATAATTACGGCATCTGGCTATTCCTAGTTTATTTTATTTAAGAAGGCATTGGGGGACCATGCCCCCAATGGGATAAATCATCGTAGACGATCTAGGAAATCTGGAACACCTTGCGCTCCGACGTGTCGAAAAGAAAAGATGAGCTTCCGCCGAATCCCTCCTAAGAGATGTTACCCGCGAACAACGCCACATACAATCTATCGAATCATCTAGATACAGCTCCCAAGTATTGTCACCTAAACCCGCAAGAATACATGGCGATTCCAGGTTTACGTATCTTTTTTTTTTTATTTTTTTTTTTTTATTGTGACTCGGCAAAATGACTGCACCGCGCCTGATGGAAAGTGCGAATACAGTCCAGAGATGAGAGTAACGGATGGAAAACACAAATATCTTCACTCCGTCACTATCATTTTGCCGGTCTGGCCAAATGCTTCTTCACACTACGTTTGAAGGACCCGATGTTATAGAGGGGAGGGAATACATGCGCCGGGAGTTGGTTCCACAATTTGATGGTTCGGCATGAGAACGAATTGCCAAACTTTTTAGTGCGGGACGGTATTGAACTGACCGTCCAACTGTGGCAACGCAGTCCGGCACGGGTGGTCCGCTGATGGAAAGGAGAGGAAGGGATAAGGTTGAATAACTCTTCAGAGCACTCACCGTGGTACAGGCGATAGAATACGCTAAGAGACGCTATATCTCTGCGAAGCTGTAACGATTCCGCATGCTCAGTTACATGAGGATTGTTGACAACACGGAAGGCGTAGCGCTGCAGTCCATCTAGGGCATCGAGCAAGTACTTGGCAGAGCCGTCTCAAAGGTGCGAACAGTACTCCATGCTGCTTCGGACCTGAGCTTTATACAACAGGTATCGCAGCTCTGGAGTAAAAAATCGGTGTACCTTGTTCAGGATGCCAAGCTTGCGCGACGCGGTACAGATGACGCTCTCTATATAGTCTTTGTTGCTCATGTCCTTCCGGATGCTCATCCTCAGCAGGCTGAGCTTGTCCTGCAGCGTCAGCGTTGTACCCTGAAGATGGGGAAGTGGAAGGAATGGGGATTTTTTGGAACTGAACGCGCATACCTGGGTTTTCTTGGCGTTGAACTCAACCAAGTTTCGGGAGCCCCACGACGATATATGTTCCAAAACATGGTTGAGCTCAGCGACAAGTTTTTCCCGGTTTCTCTCAGGGTCCTCCCGGCTGCTTGACGGTTGCTTATAATAGCAACCGTGCACTGTGCTATCATCTGCATAGCAATGAATGTTGCCAAAAGGCAACAAGTCATTGATATGTAGAAGGAACAGCGTGGGCGACAGCACGGAGCCCTGTGGCACCCCAGCATTAACTGTCACGAGCCGCGAAGTGCCTCCGTCAACAAGGACACGCAATCTTCGCTCGCGCAGAAAGCCGGAGATCCACTCACAAAGGCGGCCGGGAAGACCATATGCCGGAAGCTTGGAGAGGAGACCACGGTGCCAGACCCGATCAAAGGCCTTAGCAATATCCAGACTTATCGCTAAGGTTTCGCCCTGTTTGTTGATGGCTTCACCCCAGAGATGCATTAGATACGCTAGAACGTCACCCGTTGATCGGTTCGGCCGAAACCCGTACTGTCGATCATTAAGAATGGAGTGACGTTCCAGGTGCCGGATTATCTGGATATTTAGAATCCGCTCCATCACTTTGCAGAGCACTGAAGTGACAGCTATTGGGCGATAGTTTGTCGGATCAGACCGATCTCCTTTCTTGGGGATAGGTTGCACGTTGGCCTCCCTCCAAGCTAGGGGCACGTTACCAGATTGGTATGAGAGGCGGTATAAGCGCGTCAGTATGGGAGACAACTCCGCCGCACACCTTTTAAGGACGATAGGAGGTATCCCATCTGGACCATAGGCTTTCCGCACGTCAAGAGTCTACAGTTCCTTGCGGACATCACATTGCCTGATAACTATATCAGGCATTGTGACTCCGCAGTGGGGAATTGACGGCGGTTGCGCATCTTGGTCGTAAATGCGCGAGTTAGCCCCAAAAAGGTCGGCCAATAAATTGGCTTTCTCTTCGGGGCCATAGGCCAAAAATCCATTGGGATACCTCAAAGGCGGCAGCGACGAACGACAAAAATTGGACTGCACGGCTTTGGCCAGGCTCCAGTAGGCACGGCTACCGGTGGGATGGGCTACCAGCTTCTGGCCAATCCGTGAAACGCGCTGGGCATCCGCTCTTATGTAAGCCCTCCTGCAAGACTTGGTTGCTTTGTTATAGGCTGCTTTAAGGGACGCAAGGTTGGGATCCTTTGTTACACGACCCTTGATCCAACCACGATATGGAGCCTGTTTCTCACTAACAGCGTCCATGCATTCGCGATTGAACCAAGGGCGTCCTCTGCGATTGGCGATGACTCTGGAAGACGGTATGTAGTAATTCATAGCCGTTCCAATCTCATCGACAACAGCATCGGCAGCTGCTGAGGCATCCTTTCCCGCAAAGCAGTGCTGCAACCAAGGGATGGACGCAAAGTAGTCGCGCATACCATCCCAATCCGCCGACGAGTAGTGCCAAATGCGACGAGTGACCTCCTTCAGCTTAGTTGGAGGCATTTGGGAAACCTTACACCCAACCAAACAGTGATCAGAACTTCCCAGGGGGGCGCAATCTTACTTAACAGAAAGTACTTGGCAAACTATTTGACGGCGTTCGACATGGAAATATTAAAGAAAAGCAATAATTTTCATGAAGCTCGACTACAGAAGTAAAATCGAGTTAATTGGTACGCAGCACTAATATTCTGTGTTACCATACAAGAAAAATTAGCCAGGGTTCGTGTTTTCAAAAATATGTCAAATTAAAGGGAACCCATTCACGATATTGATTTTATAGAAAAATCGTTCACCAACAGGTAATATATATGTGAATGGTGTAAAGAATAGATTACACCAACACTTAAGTTTCAACTAATTTACTAAATATTTTTAGACTATAACGTCAAAGTGACATTTTGTACAAGAATGGTGAAAAATACCAAGGAGAGAAGATAAATTTGGTTTGGTTTTGTATTCAGGAGATCTACGAAAAAAAATGTGTTACACTATGTGTGGGTCTATGGCATCCGCGACACAGAGTTTCCCTGGCGATGTTGAGTGTGTGCGTTATTATTAATTATTTGAGAAACGAAGCTATCTACGATTCGCATTAACTAGTTCGGTCATATTTTCTTCGTTTACAAATGTATAAAGTCACAGGGAGGACAGCGCTGGTGTAATTTGATTCTGACGTCGTCCTATGACATGATGGTTGATGGCCGGTTGCTATATGGAAATAAGGAGGGAAAGGTGATGGTCAATGTTTTATGAACGAACGCGATTTTGATAAGATTGCTTTTGGATGTCTGTCAGTTGGAAATAAATTAATCTCGGGCCGAAAGAGTTCGTCCAGGGAAGTACTGCCACCTTACATATTTCTGCCGCCAAGCAGTAATATTAGCATTGCTACATTCTGGTTTTGAAGGGTAAGGGTGCTGGTGAAATTATACGCACATGGGACTTGTCAACTTATGTCTCAGGGTGACGGGCATAGTGATAGCGCCCCTCAGATCTTTGCAATTTAAAGCTCTTAGTGGCACTGCAACTGTTATGGACAGACGTGTAGCTTACCATCAGCCGCACGACTAGCTCGTCCCGTCACTTGATATTTTAAAGAATAATAAAAAAAATGCCGCGTGACACTTAAAATCTGTTTCAACCTTTCATCTTTTGTACTTTCAAACTAATTATTGTGAGAAGTGGATAAAGGAATTAAATTCAATGAACGAAGTTACTATTTATTCTCCGCCGGCATAGTGAATTAATAGAGAATCGGCCCATTATCCGCTCACGCGATACATGCAGCCGTAGACGCATACCACACTTAGAGGTGCCGGTGATGATTTTATACCGATTTATCGGATATCGAAGTTATAACACATGAAAGAACTAACATTAATTGCTATTTCGGTAACTGCTCTAGCAAACCATAAAGTTTTTAATGCCTGGGTCTGTCAATTAAAAAAAATAATCAACTTCAAAAATACGTCACGACAATCGTGTGTGTTATTGTTTGGGCTGGTGATTTCGGTGTTTATTTATTCAAAATATACCGTAAGTAGCATTTTTTAAGTTTACCCTGAATCTAAATGTTTATAAACTATACTTTAAGGAGTAATTTTATGGTAAACGTTAGAACCACTCAAACGGAATATTATCATATTTATCCAAGTACACCAAAAATTGCTTTAGTGCTTTTTAAGTGCTGGATTTGCGGTGTATTACTGCATTTTATTTGAGATGTTTTTGTTGGTAGTACGGAGGGTATTTATTTAGCAATGCAGAATAATAATTTTTATTTATAAAAACTTGTATTTAAACTGAATGCTTTTCTAATTTGCGAAACCAAATAGCCGCCACTTTGCGGTAGGAGGCGCGCATCGCGTAAACGGTTAGAAAATAATTTCTGGCACAATTAGTGGCGAAACAGCTAGGTTCCCTCAATGTCTCGCAGACAGCCATATTTCTACATATATACCTATACTAAGGCTTAACTTACACTCGAAAGTCGAAAACGCAAAGGCGAAAAACATGACGCGTCGCGACGGTTCGTAAGCGAGCTTAATATGTCGAAGCGAACGGATCCTGATTGTCACTGTTCAGACCGTCTTATTGGCAACGCTGCTGTTTCCCGGAATGGTCGATGAAGCGCAGGCGTACCAACATATTTGACAGCTTAGTTGCTGTCCACACTCGACGAAACGCAGGCGTGCCAACCATTCGGCGGGGCGACATACTAACTATGCACGTTGTCATGTTGGCGACGATTCTGTTGCTGTCATGACTGGCCGAAGAAATTATGATGTTCGGCGCCTGGATATGCACGTGTTGGGGTGCTGAGAAGGAGGCAATTCAGACTGCGACTCCGGCAGAGCAACACGAACGTGTCTGTGACGTCGGCAGTCGTGTGTGAGATCGATAACCGTATCTGTGAAATTACAACAGTCTCTGTGTCTAACCTCAATAACTCTGTGCGTAACTTCGATATACATATATATATATATTATGTATATATTTAAAACAAACCAATACTTCAGGTTCTTTACAAGTTCCATGGACACGGCTCACTCTTGAACTTTTCTAGTTAAAAAATTCTATCTAACACTCTAAGCAATTCTGAGGAAAAACTTTGTCAGCCTCCAGGGCACGTAGCCCCTGAGCGCGGTCCTCGATAAAAATGTTCTACTTTAAATTTTTTAAGGTAGATTTGTTTTTGTGCTTTTTTTCAACATTTTCGACGACTTCGGTAGCCTAACGGTTTGTAGCGCTGAATGAGGAGATCTCGGGTTCGATTCCCGAGGACCAATTTGGGGAATAATAACGCACACACTCAACATAGCCCCGCACTAGGGAAACCCTGTGTCGCGGGTGCCATGGACACACACATAGACAGCCACAAATTACACCCAAATTCACGAGATAAATAAATCTAGGTCATACAAATATTTCTCCCGGCCCGGGAATCGAACCTGGAACCGCTGCGCGGCAGGTAACCGTTCGGCCACGGAGGCAGAATGAGCTTTTCAATTCGTTTTGGGTGTTCTGTACCATACCCTAATGGTAATTCCATTGTTCTGGAACTCATGACGTATTATATTCAAATAACATTTTTAGGGTTAATTTAGGGTAGTCATTTCTTTTTCATTATATCTATTCTTTTTTATAATACCAAGTGACGGGACGAACAAGTCGTGCGGCTGATGGTAAGCTACACGTCTGTCCATAACAGTTGCAGTGCCACTAAGAACTTTAAATTGCAAAGATCTGAGGGGCGCTACCACTACGCCCGTCACCCTAAGACATAAGTTGACGAGTCCTATGTGCCTGTAATTTCACCTTCCAAACCCGAGCGCAGTAATGCTCATATTACTGCTTGGCGACAGAAATAGGGTAAGGTGGCAGTACTTCCCTGGACGAACTCTAACGAAATGTTATATGCCTGTTGTAAGGGCAGAATAGCGATTCTTTCCTACGCGGTAACCGATGTCCAGATACTGTTCTTGGAGTATATAGTGAACTTAAAGAATGATTGTTAATTCTTTTTAAATAATTTAATTAAAAGTGTAATATTGTTTAAATTGTGAAACTGTACCTCGCTTCGAATTCAAGGTTTTCCCGTATTAATACGGCTCATAATCTGTAATGTTTTTATATATATTAAATAAATAAAAATTGTCTCAAATCATTTAGGGCGCCCCATTTACAGAGGCTTTTTTGTGTAGGTACACGACGTCGTTATCCATTCAAAATATGAGTTCTTGTCATCTTATTTTGTTTTTAAAAGGACAATGGCAAACTCACATATAACCGCTCACGCGATTCATGCGTTTTTGGAAGCATACCACACCTAGAGGTGGCGGTGATGATTTTATACCGATTTATCGGATATCGAAGTTATAACAGGTAAAAGAACTAATACTAATTGCTATTTCGGTAACTACTCTAGCAAACCATAAAGTTTTTAATGCCTGGGTCTGTCATTTAAAAAAAATAAACAACTTCAAAAATACGTCACGAAAATCATGTGTGTTATTGTTTGGGCTGATGATGTCGGTGTTTATTTATTGAAAACATACCGTAAGTTGGGTTTTTTAAGTTTACCCTGAATATAAATGTTTATAAACTATACTTTAAGGAGTGATTTCATGGTAAACGTTAGAACCACTCAAATGGAATATTATCATATTTACCCAAGTACACCAAAAATTTCATTAGTGCTTTTTAAGTGCAGGATTTGCGGTGTATTACTTTTACGCATTTTATTTGAGATGTTTTTGTTGTAGTACGGAGGGTATTTATTTAGCAATGCAGAATAATTATTTTTATTTTTAAAGACTTGTATTTAAACTGAATCCTTTTCTAATTTGCAAAACCAAATAGCCGCCATTTTGCGGTAGGATGAGCGCATCGCGTGAGCGGTTATATTTTTGTCGACATAATTTTGTATCAAACGCATACAAATTATGAAAAATATATGAAAATATAGATTTGAAATTGAACAAATTTTGTTTTGGGTTTAAGGTTAAGATATTCCAGTTTGAAGTTTTGGAGGCTGTTACTGGTTGTACGAACTAGCGCTAGAAATAAAATCACTTGTACTGCAGCAAAACGAATTTACTTAAAAAAATTGCGGTTTACAATTGACGCCGTGCGGTACGGCTCGCGAGTAGCAGAGGACTGCCTCGCCGCGGTTGGCATAAAAAAAACAAGGTGGAATACAAAGAAAACAAACTAAATGTACCTTATTTTCTAAAATTAAAACTATATTATGTTAATTAATGAGCGCGTCGCTAACAATCCCCACCCTAGTGCTGATTCAGCACTCATTAACTACAGATATAGGTGCGACGCGGGCCGCAGACCGTCGCCATGTCCCGGTCCCGGTACTTACCTCAACAAGCCGTGTGCGGCCGTCCTTGCCGGGGAACACCTGTGTGATCCGACCCTTAGGCCACATGTTGCGAGGAGAACTCGGGTCAACCACGAGGACGAGATCGCCTACTTGCAGCGACTTCTGTTCCACTTGCCATTTCCTTCTCGGTATGAGATCAGGTAAGATTTCTTTTACCCACCTCCGCCAGTACATATCGGTCAACTTTTGGGCCGTACGCCAATGTTTGCGCAGGTACAGATCCGAGTTGTCGAAAGTTCCGATAGCAGGTAAGTTCGACGACGTGCCAAGAAGGAAGTGATTTGGGGTGAGAGACTGGACGTCGCCACACTCGACGGAGACATGCATCAGGGGACGGCTGTTTACTATGTTTTCTACCTCAGCCATGAGTGTGTTTAAAACCTCGTCCCGTGGTGCTCGTTCATTCAGGATGACTTTAAGTGACGTCTTAACTTTACGTATGAGCCTTTCCCACGCCCCACCCCAATGTGGGCTAGCAGGAGGTATGAAAGTCCATTCCATGCCTTTGTTGACACCGTGACATTTTAGTTTTTCAGTGTCCAGTTCTTGAACCGATCGTCGTAGCTCCGTATCGGCGCCCCTCAGATTTGTGCCGTTGTCCGAATATAGGTGGCGCGGCCAGCCGCGCCTCGCTGCCATTCGCCTCAGCGCCATGATGAGCGTGTCCGACGTCAGGGAGGAGACCAGCTCGATGTGGACAGCGCGTACTGTAAGGCAAGTAAATAAAACTCCATACCTTTTCTCCCGGCGTCGGCCCACAGTGACCTCCATCGGACCAAACAAGTCCAGGCCACAATACGAAAAAGGACGCTGATGGTGCGCTACTCGCGCTTTAGGTAAGTCACCCATTCGTGGTACTTGCGGCTTACATTTGCGAATTCTACACAGCATGCACCCTGACGCTACGGATTTAACTGTAGGTCTTAGCCGCAACAACCAATACCGCTGCTTCACCTCGTTGACCACGGTCTCTTGGTTCCCATGGGCTGCCTGCACGTGATAGTGACGAACGATCAGCTTGGCCACAGGATGCCGACCGTCCATTATCACCGGCCTCTTCACTTCGAGGTCTACATCTGTCGCAGCGTCGATACTGCCGCCTACCCGCAGCAAGCCGTGTTCGTCTAAGAACGGTGACAAAGACAGTAGTCGACTGTTGCGGTGCAATGGCTTGTTATTTTTAATAGCGGTGAGTTCCTCACTAAAGGATTCCAGCTGCGCGTGCTGCAGCAGCAATCGTTCCGCACGTTCCATGGTGCTGAGGTCAACTTGTCCTGTAAGTCCCTTACACTTGTCGATAAACTTCAGCACCGCGGCCGCGGCCCGCTTCAAGCGAAGCCAAGCAGAAAATCGTGTTGGGTCCGGTACAGCTGACTCGACTGAAGTCTCCTGTACGATTGCAACGCATTCCGACATCGTAGTATCCGACTGTGGACAAATAATATTTTTTGGCCATAAAGATTCGTCATTGTATAAAAAGTTCGGGCCCGCGAACCACTCACTTTGCAGAGATTGATCGAAAGTTTCCCGCGTAGCTAAGTCAGCCACGTTTAACTTAGTAGGTATGTATCTCCACTAGTCTACGCGAGACAGCTCGTCGATCTCACCCAGTCGGTTCGCCTCGAACGTTTTATAGGTGCGCGTATTGTTACGAATCCAATACAGAACCGTTGTGGAGTCGCACCAAAAATGTCGGCGCTCCGGAATCAATTTATGCTCCTTCCCTATAGTGTGAGCTAACCTTGCCGCTAATAAAGCTGCTTGTAACTCGGCTCTGGGCACTGTCAATGCCTTTACAGGCATCACTTTGCACTTGCTGGCAATAAAGGCTACTTTAATAATACCGTCACTTTCCCAGCGCCAATAAGCTACCGTGCACATAGCTCGAGTACTAGCATCGCTAAAAATATGTAAATTTAACTTACTATAACCGGCTTCGCTTGTAGCACTAGAGGCTGCCGCTACGTGTTCGTAGCTCCTCGTAGCGCTGGGCGTAAACGCACCGTTGCTTGTTGTCAGATGCGAGCGGCGGCGGCGGGGAGTGCGCGAGAGTTGGCAACGTCGCACTCGCGACGCCGAGAGATTCCTCAATCGGTTGATCCCGCGTCGCATTCTCTCGCGCGGGCGCTGGCATTCCATCTCTGTCTGAACTGCGGTGCTACAAATCAGCCCATTGATTTGTAGCACCTACGTATGCGTATATTTTTAATTACCTTAAGTAGGTCAATCCATTTCCGTCATTTGTGATAAATATCATCGGGAATGTAATCGTCCCAACCGATATTCAAACGCCAGGTGTCCTGGAGCATGATGCGCCCCTGAACCGTGAAAGATGCTAAAAAACCTAACACATCAAAAATCGACATAATAACTTTCAACATTAAACGTTTAGTCGGCCTTTCCTCTCCTTTAATGATGTTCTCTGGTATGCGTTTTAAAGACATATCAAAGCCTAACGTGTCATCTGCAGGATACCAAATGAGACCCAGCGTGCGCTCGCTCTCGTGTTGCTGGCCGACATTGAACCTTACAGCGGCGGTACCCAAGGTCTCCTTTGGCACGCTGTTTAATACTGCAACGCTGTTACTCGTCCAGTTTCTTATCTCAAAGCCGCCCGCCCTGTGAATGTTACTGATATTCCTTACCATTTCGATCGCCGTCGCCTCGTCGGGCAGACTGCCAATATAGTCATCCATGTAGTGCGAGTTGCAGATGGCGTCAACCGCAGCGGGAAACGATGATTCAAATCGCCGCGCATTCTTATTTTTGACGAACTGCGCGATGAACGGTGAGCAGCTGGCGCCAAAAACAAGTGACGTCATCGCGTACGTCTTCACATTTTCTGTGGGACTGGTTCTCCACAGAAACCTCAGCGAGTGCTGGTCCTCTGTTCGGATCTTAACCCTCAAGAACATGTCTCGGATGTCACCTGTGACTGCAATACTTTGCTCTCTAAAGCGCAGCATTATACCCAAAAGTGATGACAATAGGTCAGGCCCCGTGAGCAAATAATCATTCAGACAAAACCCATTTACCTTACTAGCCGCGTCGAAAACCAGACGGAGTTTCTTTTTGTTGGGGTTGTCCACACCAAAGTGGGGTAAGTACCTACCACGTCTTGGGCGATACCTCAGTCTTTGTTACTTCTCTGGCGTAATCATTCTCTAACAAATGGTTTACTCGTTCACGGTACCTCTCGGCGAAACCCTGATCTTTGCTCATTTTACGCTCGATACCCCTTAACCTGGTGAGAGCACTGGGCCTGGCGTCGGGCATGGCGCGCGCGTCCCGCCAAGGCAGGCCGACGTGCCAGCGACCGTCGCGCAGCTCCGTGGAGTGCTCCAACAGCGCGATGGCGCGCACATCCTCTGCGTTCTGCCGCGGCGCGGTCGCTACGCCCAAGGTGTCTATCGTGAAAGAGCGTCGTACCTCCTCGTGGATCTGCCGCAACAAGTCCTCACCGTCAGAAGTATCCTCCTCACACTCTGCAATAAAGAGGTTAGATTCTGCCTCGGTGGGCAGGCGGACGCCTCGCGGCACGGATATCTTTCCATGTACACACCAGCCTAGGGGAGTAAGGGCAGCGCACGGCTCATTAAGTTTACCTAACCTAATTTGTGAAGGTAACAATAGGTGATAATTATCTTGGCCTATCAATAATTCAGGCTTTGAATCAGAAGTGCATAGCTTATCTTTAATATCTATTAAGTATGAGGAGTTAATACAATTTAAAATAGATAAGCTTTGCAAAGGTAGGTTTAATTCATCTACACAACGTAACCTTATATTATGCACCTTATTGTCTATACCCGTAAGGTTCACATTCACCATAGTAGATTCGTAAACAAGTTCATTACCAGCAAATGCGCCACTCACGCGCAGCGTGCTAGCGCGGCCGCGCAGCCCGGCGCGCCGCGCCAGCTCCGCGCTCAGCAGCGACACCGACGAGCCGTCGTCAAGCAGCGCCGTGCTCGAGAACACACCGTTAGGTCCGTGTATACGGATAGGCACTACTTTTAGCAACACTGTACTATCACTCGCGTTGATGTGCGTTAATGTTTCCGACACCTGTTTAACTAAGGGTTCCCGCGACACTTGTACGTTCATAGCGGAGCTATTCGGTGCACTCGTACTCGGCGGCGGCGGTGGCGGCGGCGCGAGCGATGCGACCTCACGCGCACTATTGTTGTTTACCGTATAATGTAGCAGGCGGTGGTGCTCGGCTCCACAGCCTTCTTTGTCGCACGCAGGGGCTTGACACCTATCTCGATCATATTTGGAGACAATACATTTATAGCATAACCCGTTTTTCTTTACATGTTGCCATCGTACTTTGCGCAGCGCTTTTTTAAACCGTTTGCAATCCGTTAACTTGTGAACAGCTGTGCGGCAGAATAGACACTTTGCGTCGCCTTCCTCGGCTTGTAGTAAAACAGTCTG